TCTTTATTGGTTTTAATAGTGAACACAGGAAAAATTTCTTATGGATGAAGAAGGAGTTGAGCCTCCGTTTAAAGTTGAAATAGGATATACTCTTCTAATATATTAATGATAGATCGTTCTAATCTTTGAGGAAGATTACAAATTTCTGTAAGACGCTCAGGCATCTATTGATTGTTTTTTAAATAATTTCTCAATAGTCATTTCATAGATTCCTAAAACCTATATTCTTTATCATATTATAGGACTCAGTGTTTTATCCAGATTTTCTCTTCCGGAGGAGTGATTCAACATTTCGGGAGGGCCAACTCGATTTTGTGTTTTCACTATTGCGATTCGAAACTAAAAATTGGCATCTTTCTTTATATATCAGAGGCTATTCGAATTTTTTGTCTTTCGACAAGGCACCACAATCTTCATTTTGCCTACATACTCATTTTGGAAAAATCGACAACTGTTTTACATTGAAACGAACTCTTGAAAAAATGCTTAGATAAAAGCTATAGTTTAGTTCAATTTCACATTTTATAAAGACATATTCGCTCTACAAAACAAACGAACTTCGACAACTTTTAGTATGTTCAAAAACAGACATAACGTTTCTAAATCGATATTCAAATTCTGATAGCTTTTGATATTTTCTAACGGGCCAAAAGTGAACAAACATCACATTGTATGTTCATCTGAAATTTTTACTATGAAAATTATTATTTTAAATTTATAATTCTAAACTGTATAAATAATCAACTTATCTAAAATTTTTCTAACTCACATTTTGTACTGCCCGATTACATGGTATTTGATAAAAATCACAAGCACATTCATAACGTAAAGAAAATCCTCCGCATGGACGTGATTCACTAGACATTATATTTGTATCTTGATAATATTCATTTGATAAACGTAATAATTTATCATATTCATTCTCTGGTCGAATCTCCACACTAAATAAAAAAAAAAGAGAGATTATATATATATTTCTTTTTAATATAAATATTTACATCGCTTGTAATCTATGAGGAAAAACAGCATGTAAATTTCTAATAAGTACAATAAGAAATGATTGTAATGATGATTTATCATGAAGGCCATATAATGTATGTGCTTGTTTTTCATCAGTTTCTATCAAAATCTATAATTAATAATAAAGAAAAAAAAAAGAAAAGAAAATTTATTTTTAAAATCAAATATTTTTTTTGTTACATGAGAATCTGACACTCGTTCAATTAATTTAATTGCAAGAATATTAAATTGTGACTCGATCTGAATAGAAGAAAAAAACAATATTTTTGATTTATTTTTGATTAATTTTTATAAAATCTAAATCATACTTTTACAGGAATTTTAACCGAACAAATATATACTCGAACGGCATCCATACACTAAACAAAAAATATACAAAAATTATTAAAACAATTTATTTCTTTTTTGTTATTTTACCAAAAGTCGTTCTTCAACTTTTTCACCTTTTGTTCCATAACGAATACGACCATTAAAATAAAACGATGAACATTTAATTATACTTCGAGCACTGCCTAAAAATGACATTGAAACATCAATTATATGAATAAATAATATATCATTATTTACCGATTAATTCAGCAAAATCGTCTCGATCATTCATCTAAAAAAAATGATAATAATAATCATTAATGAGCAAAAAAAAACCTAATCTGAACAACATACACAAGCAACTTTACACCACATTGAAAGATAACATTCATGACATTTCAAGAAATAATGATTCTACGAAGGAAATAAACATCTTAAATAATCGAAAAAAAAACATATATATATATATAAGTAAATATATAAAATGGCTATTATGCATGAAAATTGAAAATATACTTAACGCACCAAATTCATAAAACATTGACAAGATTACAGGTGAGTAAATACATCAATCAACAAAATAATCGAAATATATGAAATACGAATCATTGAGATAAACAAGCAAAATAAAACAAAACATATGGACAATATGATGATTCATCAAACCACATACCATGCATAAGATTTTGTATAACAGCGACATCTTTATTTAACAACAAGAAAAAATCGAAGACCTTTGAAATCAATTTTTTTTCTCAAGTTATTCAAAATATTTTTTTAATAGAGTTCTAACTAAAATTATCATGTAAGCCAACATGAACAAATAGCATACTTTTCTATTTTAGAATCGTTTAAAGATCTTCGGAAATATTTTTTGCCTTGGACTAGAGCCGGGGGTAATAGTGGTGGCTCAACAGGAGGAGTGTCGGAGGTGTGACACTTCTTCAATAATTGGAAATTTTTTACGTCTAAAGAGCTTCGTTTTTTTTGAACAATCATCACTAACGTGGCTACCTTTGAGGGCAAAAACTTTTTAATAAACATCATAGGTTACATTTAATGACGGTTTAGTTTTTGAAAAGCAATGACATAGAAGCAGAATTTTTAGCTTCGGTAAATAGTACCGATTGCATAAGCGCAGCCAAATTTTAAAGACTTAAAACTTAATTTTAGGAAGTTTTGATTAATTCTACGTTCTATAAAGTATAATTTCAATAAAATAGTCGCTGACGTGAATATCTTCGATGTTAGAAATAACTAGAAATTTTTTTTTTGACTTCCATACGCAGACGGTTGTCTTTCACAAAGGGAAAAAAAGGTAAAATCGAGGTTTTTTTTCATTTTATACGGTATTCCTGAATGGAAAAAATTTGTTGCAACATAATCAGTCAAAGAAGATCACATTAACTGTGTTGAAAAAAATGTGGGTCTGTTTCTTAATCTTAATTAACTCGGAAGATTCGTATACCACTCTTTTACTTACTCATTTTTTTGTTGTTATGCCTTTGTGAACGTTTTTCTTCTATTTAACGTATGTTTCTTTAACGCGATAAGATTTATTGAACTGTATTGCCTATGCAGAAAAAAACATAGAATAAACAACTAGAAATCTATTGGTGTTTTTAAATACAGGCTACTTCAGTCAAAAACTTTTTGTATCTTCTCAAAGTTCGAAGGTTCGGGTCACCACTGGTTGGAGGTTGACCTCTGACTTAGACGCATTTGAATAATGAAAATGCTCGAGTTTCAGTCTAGAAAAATTGTAGATTTTCATAACTCCATTGCTACATATAAGTTAATGATCTTAAGTCATATGTATATTGATCATAAATAGCATTTTAAATTTCATGTCGCACGTTTGTTCGGACTACCGCCGATATGTTGTGGTACTCATAAGAACTAGACGTGTAATCGATCAAGAATTGTTAAACTAGGCCGACACAGGTAGTTCAATAAATCTCTTGGATGGGTGGAAACTGACCAATTTGTTGGATCATTATTAATCGATTGATGGGAATGACCTCAAAAAGCATTCATCTTTCTTTTTTTTGCACTCAAATTTTTATAAATCATCAGAAAGAAATATCATGTTATAGTTTTTTATATCTGTTAGGTTTCTCAAAGATGAATATATAATATGTCTATATAGAGAGCAAAAAAAAAGTCATGTATCCATCAACTGATTGCTAAAGTCTAAATATTGAACATTCTGACTCAGTTTTTTCAGACAAATCTAACGTTTCTTCTCGAATAATGGTTCAAACGTATATGATATAAGTTTTGCTCAATTAACACAGTTTGGATTGTGCCTTTTTAAAAAAATGAAATATACGTTGATTAAAGAAGTAAAACAATGTGAAAGAACAGAAAACAATAAAACTAATAGTTCTTGAAACAACACTGTTCGATTATTTTGGATAAGAACAAGCAAATTTGTTCTCAACAAGTTTTATCAGAGAAAAATGGCATATCTATAAAACAGTTTCCAACTGCTGAAGACCGGTTCAGTTACAACTCTGATAAGAATCGATGACATACCGGCAGTAAAATGATGGGAAAACATTTAACAGTAACATATTTTTGATTTTTTTCTGTAATTTTAAGCAATTAACTCAAATCCAAATAGTGAATTTATTATCCAATGAAGTTTTCTATCTAATCCATTCGATATCAAGATTTCATAGATGAACTATAATGGCAAAGTAAATCTCAGAAGTTATTTTTTAACAATACCATTTTAACGAGCAAAAAATTCTGAAGAAAATGAGGGTTTGTCGCATTGTCTATGATCTTCCCTGAAATAGTTAAAAGTAACACAAAACCCTAAAAAAACGAAATTCATCAATAAACCGACTAAAAAACGCCTTTTTTTTCAATTTTTGTGATACTTTTAACTTTTAAGGGAAGGTCGTAAAAAAATACGACAACATCTCATTTTCTTCAGAATTCTGTGCGCCTTAAAATGGTATTGTTAAAAAAATAGTTTCTGGGACTTACCTTGTCATCATAGTTCATCTAGTATAGAATACATTAGATAGGAAACTTCACTGCCTCTTAAATTCACTATCTGAATTTGAGCTAATTGTTTAATATTATACGAAAAAACAATACGCTGTTGTTAGATTTTTCATTAATGGATTTCCTTACAGACAATTATATTTGATTCTTTCCATTTTGACATTCTCTTATTTATATATTCAAAATAAAATTTTCAACTTTTCATTAACTATAAAATGATTTTTATTTATATTACTATTCTCGCAAATTTCATTTGAACAGATCTATTGAAAAATAAACAAACAACTATTTTTCTAATATTACTAATTTATTTCTTTTCATGAATTTTCGCTGATACTTGATACTTGAATATTCTTTTCCCTTAAAAAACACTCTAAACATAAAGTCAACAATTCGACTTATTTAAAATGGATTCTTATTCATTTATTTCTAATTAATCAGTTAATAATTATTTTCACTGTGTTTTTTTATGAGGTATATAAAAAGAAAATAAATGCTTGTTGTCTTTCTACATCATAATTCTTTTTCATTTTCTTTCAGTGTTTTTTTCAATTACATAATATTTATAATATTCTGTATTATAATTCGTTTATTATTTAATTATATATTGCATTATTATTTGTTCTATAACAATTCAAAACTAAACATGATTTCTAAACTAGTTCATCTTGTTCATGATTTCTTGATTCTAACATATATTTTGGATCTAATAATCCAATATCCATATCCGAATGTTCTCTTAAATATTTTCGTTTTGCATCTACTGCTTCTTCAAATTGATCAAAATTTGTTGATATATGTGATAGATTTTGATTAATATATTGATGATGTAAAGGATTTTTTCGAAATTCAAAATAAGAATCTTCAGCATTTTGAGCATCATGTTCACCATATTTTATTATATAAGTTGACCATAATTGTTCTATTATTTCTTGTACAATAAAATCTGATGCATTAGCTGCTAATAAACGTATGAAAAAATAACCATCAGCTTCTAAATAATCATTTAAAAAAGCATCAACAAGTGTTGTATGTACATGATCGCCAATATCTCGTGTTACATATTTAAAATCAAGACGAAAACGTGGAATTTGTGGTCGAGATGTACGTGCAAGACGAGTATATATAAAATTATATTGATGAGTTGATGAACCAAGACGTACACCCCATAATATAAGTGCATAGATATTACATATTAAAATAAATCCATACCAAATCCATAATAATGTAAATATTTGCTAAAATAAGAACAAAAAAAAACATTTCTCGATTTTTAAAATTCATGAGCATATTTATTAATAAAGTAGGAAAAAGAGTTTTTTTTTGTTGAAAATTTTTATTATAGAATATGCTTAAGATCTTTTCTCTTGAATATTGAGTAGGATACTTATCTATTTCGAAAGTTATGATGTAAAAGTACATTTGTATTAGTTTACTATTGTTGAATAGTAATGTGTACAAAGTAAAGAAGTTCGCTAAGTTTTTATTAATAAAGGTTTTTTATAATCATCTGAGTAACCAGAAATGATATTCATTTGAATGGACATAACACAAAAAAAAAGTAGAAAAACTCAATGTTTTAAAGAAATACAAGGCTGTATAATAAATGTTAGATATAGACATAAGCGAGAGCAGTCGTTTTTGGTCACGGTGGGATCAGACCATTTTGCCCTTATCAAGTTGCATAACTATAAAACGGTTGGTCTATGGATAGTTTATATTCATTATAGATGTGAAGAATAAGCTTTTTACGTACGCTAACTGAGAAAAGTTTTCTTACCCTTAATCTACATACCCTGTAGAGTCTCTATCCTTACCATCTCCTGCAAAGTTTTTATCTATTTCCTCCTTAACACTACCGTAGTTGGAAGACTCTAAAAATGATAAAATAGCAGAACAGTATTACAGTAGACATGTAAAAAATAAACTTTTTTAGTACTCTATACCCTGATCCAATTGAATGTTGACTACGTTGTGACATACACTTACTCTTATGGATGATATATGCTTAGTTAGTGTATGTATAGGAAGCTCAAGTAATTAAGCGAAAAAATTCTGCGTACAGCTATAGTTAGTATTAGTTGTAGGGAGAATATTGAGCTACTGAATCTGCCACTGGGTAGCATTCCATACTGTAAGATAGCCGACAGACAGGAGTCAATATTTCATGTTGTATACCTTTTGTTAATTATGGTATATAGGTTTGAAGAAAATTTGGTAACTAATCTCTTGAAAAATTAGAAGATTACCCTACATAGATGTATATGTAAATCCTATCATTCGAAAAATTCAAAACCTTAATGACATATTTCTTTATTTATACCTAATAAATCATAGAAAAGAATTAAACAATCGCTATTTTTTACCTTGTATACTCAACAAATATTCTAAAATATATATTGTTTAAAGGATGTAAATTTTTGTTTATTTGAAATTAGAATAATGATTATGTTTATTAATTGATTTTATATAATTATTAAATAATAAAAGAAATATTTATTTTGTTTTTATACCTGATTAAAAAGATTTACAGTTAAAACACATTGAACAGTAATTCTTTGTAATGGTTCTCCACCACGTAATGGTTCACGTACATGAAAATCACAGAATGTTTCTCTAGGAAAATATTTTGATTCTGGTTGATTAAGACCATGTCGAAATAATTTCACACTTTCATAACCAAATTTTAAAAAATTTGTACCAAGAAAAAGACTTAATAACCATATTTGTAATATGACATTAAATATATAATAAACTCTTATAAATACAAAAAAATAAATTTTTTTTTCTTTCGATTTTTCTTTTAAAAAGAAAATTTTTCAACTTACTTAATAAATAAATAAAGTGTAATAAAATAATTTCCTAAAAATTTTCCTGTCATACAACAAAGTAATTGAAAAACTTTTTTCAATAATGATGTTTGTCGTTTTTCAGCATCAGTTTGTCGACGTGCATCATCAACATACATATCAATTGTATCAACAATATATTTTATTAAATGATCACGATCATCAAAATCATTGACTGTTCTTGTTTCACTAGCTGCTTCAATTATATCAAGTAGATCAATACCTGAACGAACACTTAATGCACGCCAAAGTAAACGTGGTAAATAAAAAAATAATGCCATTAATAAAATAATAAATGGTGTCCATTGATAATAATTTAATACACGATTTTTCCTATAAGAACAAAATAAAAACATAGTATAATCACATTGTTTCTTTTTAAATTTTCATTCTTATATTCCTTCTCTCTCTCTCGAAGAAGAAGAAGAAAAATCATATAACCTTTCCTCTATTGAATTTGGTATTTGTTCATTTGAATCTACTCTATATGAACTCTTAATAAAACAAATATAGTTCGTATAATAAATATAAGCTGAACGAAAATTAGCTCGATTCCAACATGATATGAATGATGATATATTATCAGTTGATAAAGGTAAACCTGATATAACAGCAATTATAATAAGTCCATAAACAGTATATTTTCTATTAAGACGATCAATATAATCATCATCCGATGGTTGTGCACCAAAGAAAATTGGTCCACAAAATGTAAGCATATACAAATGATCCATTGTTTAATTTTCAAAATTTTTTCTTTACAATAATAATAAACAAAAAAAAAGTAATATTTCGAAATGAACAAGTAATAAGAAATGTAAATCAATGCACCAGATGAGAATTGTTTTCTGCTCTGTTACTTTTATATTTATAGTTTTTATCTAAGCGACAACATGTATGTATCTTACATTGACAAAGAATTGATCAATTGGGACCTGAGAAAAGTGTTATAGGAAAGAAGAAAAAAAAAGGTTGAGTAACAAACAACTCAAGGACAATTTATATCAAATAGTTTGGCACTAACAAGAACATATGATACTTTTATAGATAGACGTGTCGAGAAAGTTACTTTTTTTTGTGTCATTTGATAACAAACATACACATACATTGATAAAATTTTATGAATTTATATATAAATAAATCTAATTGAAATCGTCAATTTTTTTAAAGTTATTATTAATTGATATATAAAAATTAATATAAATTATGATTAGAATTTCCTATTGAAATATCTTATGAATGTTTTCTTTTTTGTAAATGTTTCGACACATTAGAAGATCTCACCCTTCTAATATTTGATTTTTTAGTTTTTGTTTCTACATATGTGTATTTCTAAAGTTTGCTTCAAAAATATTTTTCTGCTCATTCTATTGTTCGATGTGATCTTTACTTGAATAATATAAAATGTAATTAACGAATGTATGTATACTGCATGTAAAAAACAATGTCTGTTATAATAAAGTTCAGTTATTTCTCATTTACATTCTTCTCTTTTCATGAACAGTCAACTATATGATTATTTTCATAACTAAATAAGCATAAAAATATCTCTTATAGATAATGATCTAATTACAAATTCTTGTGTACTACTAGTAAATATCGGTTATGATCATATTAACATGCCGAAAAACCCAAAACTTAATTTTTTTTCTATTTGATCATATAAAATAATAGCATATTATGAGTGAATTCTTGTATCTTATGAAAAATTTTCCTACGATGAAGTATTAATTAATCGTTTTTTTGTATGATTTAGTACATTCTATAATAAAGATACTCGTTTTGTGAAATGTTCTTTAGTAATAGAATATAGACTGTTTTTGTTAACTATACTAGTGTAATAAACGTTTAGTAATAACATAACCAGCATAAAAAGATTTCCATAAAAATTACATCGTTGCGGGTAGCAACAAATATGTTTTTCTTTAGGGATATAATAGAAGATTGCGGATTTTCTAATGTGTTGATGGCTTTAATATAATTCGAATTTTATATTTTATGTTCATTGTGATTAGTCTTTTATTAATACAAATCAATTTGTTATTTAGAATTCTATTAAAGATCGAAAAAAACAATTTTTTTTCTCATTGAAAGGTGATAAGTGAAAATTTCTAACGCTCTACATCAAACATAGAATAGTTTATCATATAATATGAGAAACCTATCAATCATTTAATCAATGTATTAGTAGAAAAAAAAAGTTCATTTTAGGCTTCATATAATGCTTATTGAATTACAATAGAATGTTTCAATTACTTTCTTAATAATGATCCAGATTTATGAAAGAAGAATGCATTTATAATACAAATTATTTATTTTTTTTGCTAGAATATAAAATCCTATTGTAAAATTATATGAATATTACAATAAATAAGAATTGTATCAATGGAATTAACTTTACTTTTAGTTTAATCAGGAGTATTTATTATACATTAAATTTTTTAATCCAATAATTACGATTGCCAGATGTTTTGCAATAGCAGGAAAAATTCTGAGTTTTTACAAGTTGTGGTATTTTTTTGTAAATTCAAGCTTTTATGAGTTTGATTATAGTTTCGAAATAAACTCTTTTCAACAATTAATGTACCTTCGTTATACTATTGTAATTATTATATGGTACAGAGCTTTGGGACTACTAACTGTATACGTTCGTTTGAATCTAAAGTATTTTTGAACTAAAATGAATAGATTGTATTATTGAAAGAATCTATTTGATTCAATAACTTCGTTAATATTAACTGAGTTTTAAGTTGAACAGAGAATTTATCAAAATTCCGATTTAAAAATTTTCAATCTGACGATTCTGTCAACATATATATTTACAGTTACGCATCTTGATTAATTATTTCGATAAATATATAAAATATGTATCTTTTCCTATACTTTTCAATATCTATGTACTAATGATTTATCCATACACATCAAAATTTTATCTAAGATTGTTCTCTTCAAAATTTATTTATTTCTCTCTAAAATTTCACATTTAATATCCATTTATTATATATATTCTTATTTTGTTAATCAAATTTGATTTCAATATTCTCTACAGTATACTAATAAATCATAACTTGTTACTCTCATTTGTTAGCTATTCAAATCCCATATGATTAGTATTCTAACAAATATAATATAATGGTCCCACGAGTTTTTTTTTCTTATCCAATTCATTCTAAATTGAATAACAATAGAATTAAAAATTCATTTTGTTTTCTTTTATTTTGCATGGTTCTTTTAGAATCATTTTTTTCAATGGGAACACAAATAATTTCTTCGAAATCAATGAAAATGCTGTAAATTGTAGATCAGTTCGAATCACCTCAATCAAAGATCCCGTGGAAAAAATGCAAATCTATGAGCATACTTTATGTTCAAGTTTTTATGAAATAAAAACAAAAATAAACTATACCATAGTCCTTTGATAACAAATTTAGATTAATTTTCTTGCTCTTTTGTATATTTTGTTTAATGCAATAGAAAAATATTTATTATGTATTCTGATTATGGCCATATAGAGGCCAAGATTCGCTACAATTAATTCTATTTTAAAAGGTGATAGCTATTAGCAAATAGAAGTGATGACTCATTTTATGCAAACCTGACACTTGTCTTCTTATTTCGATTTTTGTTATATCACTATGACGTATTTCTTATATATATTTTTCTTGTTTGAATATTGACTTATATATATAGTAGTTATCGTTTGTCAATAGCAAATTTTTTTATTTAATTGTTCTTATTCGTATAATTATAAAATAGATGGAGATTGATTTACAAACTGAATGTTCACTAGCAATGGTGTTGAGCTTTATGATAGCAAGAAAAATAAGCATACTTAATTCATAGATACTAAGACAGCTTATTAATGACATCCTTTGTCAAAGCAATCTATACATTATATTAAGAATTACTGAAGAAGTCGACAAAAAAGAGGAAGATGAAGATGTTGATATCGAAATAGAGAAAAATGACAACAGTGAATAACTTTCATTAAACACGAATATTGGGAACAGCACTTCTGAACTCATGCGAAAACCTCTCCATATGTCGAATTCCGGTTCGACCGAGACGATGTTGACTTGATGAGCGCTAATGAGTAATAGAAAAGTCTAGAATGATGTAGTTTTTCAAGACTTCATTCTCAAGATATTAAAGTTTTTGCTCGGCTTTCCAATAAAAAGGTGTGGTTACATGAAAAATCGACTTTCGAGTTTCAACTACATGAACAAAGTCCTTAATGAGATTAGTTTATTGTGCAACTACGTAATATTTCCTTTCTGGAAATGTAAATATATGAATAAAGTTTGCTTTTACATATGAGAAAATTTCGAATATTGAATATCTTAGGACAGGAGACTCTAGAAGAGTTATAACTTGCCTAATGAACTAATCTTATTGAGAACTTTGTTCCTACAAAGTTTAACGTCGGAAGTCGATTTTTCATCTAACCACAGCTTTTTGTTGAAAAACCCATTAAAACTTCGATATCTGAAGAACGAAGATGCGACAAGCTAAATTATTTAAAAATTTTCTAGTACTCATAAAATGAACATCGTCTCGATCGAAAAACAATTTGACATCTGAAGAGGTTCCTTCGTTAACATAAATCTCGTTCGATGAGCTATTAGTAATATTGCACCATTATATAGTCTATAGTTTCTTCTAGCAAACATTCAGCTATGGTGGTAACATAATAAAAATTCGCTTTAGAAAAATTGATTACATGAACTATTTATTAACCTTAATTTGAGATCAAAAGATTATGATTTCTTCTTCTTGTCTAGTTTTATTATACTATCAAAGTAATGATTCAAAAGAAAAATAGAAAAATACAAAACGAGAAAGAGAATAAGACGTGAAGCAAAAATAATTACATATACTTTTGAACAAAGAGAAACGAATCATAAAAATAATCAAACCGAATTCTATTCGGTAGTACAAAAAGGAAAATTATTTAAGAATAAAGTAGCATAATATATCAATGGAATCATGTCAGTAGAAAAATGATTGAACATAACTGTCATAAATAATCAAAAATATCTAATGATCTTATATAAGAGTAATATAATGAAGATCATCAATAGAATGAGGAAATTATGCTGTACATCATTATTGCTTTTATCGTCGAGATATTAATCTATAAAATCGAATCATCAGAGAACTTCTTTAATTGTATAAAAACTCAGGAAAAACAACGATTAGTTGCTATGTAGAATCGGTCATATGTTTGATAGATTTGTAGACATATGATTCAATCACATACAACACGACGTAAGGATGAAAATGGCATGCAAAAAATGGAGATTTATCTGTTGAAATGAATTCTTAGATGATCTTGTTGATAAGCAATAATTGAATGTTGACATTCACATTTTGAATTTATCAAAATATTATGAAAACTATATTCATTTTCGAATAACGAAAACTGTCTGAGACAGAAGCTTCAAAATGAGAAACAGAAAATTATAGAGAATTATGGAAAATTTTTAAATCAATTGCTAATTACTCAAGTGTAAGCCTTCATGTTCAATTAGAAGATTTAACTAAATATTTGTATATATACTCATACCTAATATTTCTTGTCCTTGAATAGATTGTTAGTTGTTTTCTCGATCTTTCTAAGTTATTTCTCGGTTACGCTAAGAAATATCTTTTGTTTTGTCGATTTTATTTTCTGGTATTGCAACTAATTATTATAGAGCCCAGTTGTTGCTACGACTAATCGATATTGCCTATTTGCCGTAGATCGCCAAAAGCTAATAATCTGTATGGATTGTAATAGAATTCTCGGAAGGTCTAAAAGAATTTTCTTTATATATCTGTTATTTTCATATTAGACCTGAAACATAGAATTAAAAATTTTTATTTCTCTATTAATGTATAAAAACTTAAATCATCTTTTTTTTTGTGTATGTTATTCTTATCTTATCGTTGATGAAAAATTATTTTACGTGAAAACATTTTTGTTAAGTTAACCTTGTGAGAACTACAGACAGTATATTCAAAGAAAGACACAAAACTATTAATCATTATCATAGTGTCACAATGAAACAAATTTATCATCATTTTTACAATACATTAGCATCCGTATTAACTAATTATCAATCATTTATATTCGTTTTCTTCCTACTTCAAAACAAGTAATAAAATATGTCAAGAACAGCTGACAAAATATTCTTTACTTAATCAAATTGCTAATTATTTTTTCCCCAATTTTTCATTACAAAAAATTATTTCAAATAATTAGATATAGTAAAATAGTTCTTTTATAATTATTTTACAATAACTATATCAATTTTCCTGTTTCAAGTTTATTAATATCATGTATGATTTTATTATCATAGAAATGAAATGAATTGTATGCATCCATTATACCTTTATCTGTCTAAATATAACCTAATACAACTAAAAATAAACCTGACATTTTCAAAAAAAAAACTGTATATTCGGAGTCAGTGTTGAAATTTGAGTACAGTCAGGTCATTTTACCTATCGAACAATGACTTTCATTTTTCATCTCGGAGTACTTCCAGGTTCATTGAAAAAGAAATTTTGAAGGAGATTCTAGTGCTTCACATATCATCAAATGTAGAATTTGATACTGATTACGAATTTCATGTCGTTTGTAAAACACTATCGTGTTCCGCATGTCTTAAAAACTTATATTTTCAAGCTCTTTTAAATTCTAATAGAATTCATCAAAGGGATCGATATTACTTTTAAATGTATTTACGAGCAAGTCAGTTCTCGTTTTGATTGATATTTGACACTTTCATATCTCCTAATTGATTCAAGTGTTTTTGATGTTATCTTCGGATAGAACGTAAAAAATTGCTCTAATCAACATATTTTCCTTGTTGATTAAACATTTCGCTTTCATATAATAATTACATCGAGAGCCACAAAAACCATATTTTTTACTAGTTATTTTGTCTTAAAAGCTCTCTCAATTTCTAACCGGTTTTTTTGCAAACGTAATTTTTCACACAACTGAATGTAGTTGCCTGACGACTGTAACAGAAAATGGTTGTCAATTAGCATCCTATAATAGAATTGGATATTTCTCAATTAAAACTTTGTCTTGTTAGATTTCAATATAGAAATTCGTAATCACTATCAAATTCTGCATCTCATGATTTGTAAATCAATAGAATTGTAGATCTTTTTTCTTGAAAATATCGTGAATAAAAAAAACAAAAAAATTTGTCTTTTCATTTTAAATTTTATTTTTCTTACCGTTCTTCAATATTATGTGGTATTGTTCTATTTCTATCAATATAATATGTTGATGATATATAACATATTTGATTTGTATAATCAACATATGGTTTAATAAAATTTGCTCGACTCCAACATTCAATTCGATCATCATCAAATTGTTTCGTTGCTGTTATTGTCGAAAAAAGAACAAGTAAAGCAACTGTATATTTATAATTCATTTTATCGAATCCATCATCATCAGATCGTAATGTTGATAGAAGTACTGTTGGTACAAGTGTTATTAAATAGATTATGTCGACCATAATGGTTTTTTTTTGTTTTTGTTTTATTAATTACAATTGATTTCTTATTCAAAACAAACAAAATATCATCTAAAAAAAAAATCGCATAAAATATATGTTAACATATGCTATTGAATATCTACATAGATTTCAATCAAATAGGTGACAAAGAGCTTTTTTTTTTTCTCTTTTATATATTAAGTGACAACTGTACATAACATTTATTGATAGTTGAATAAATATTATTTTACTCTTTAAATAGAAATATCAAACAAAATGTTACTTGCCATTTTCTTCGTTTTTTTTTCTTTTATTCTTATTATGAATTGGATGTATATTATATTTTATCAAAGAATACCATTCACACATATATTTGCTATTACGTTATTTATTTCCTGTGGTTTACTATTGTACTGAGTACTCCTTTTTTTGTCCGTATGAGAGAAAAAAAAAGATGTTGCTGGAGAGAAGAAAATGTTCTACAGAATAAAAAGAAAAAAAAACGAGTAAGAGAAATGTTCCGTCTCAATTAATTTGTACTATAACTATGCATACTTTTGGAGTATGTATATGTCTTGTTCGTGTTGTACGAACAACACATTCAGAAAAAAAGAATCGGAAGAAGAAAGACAAAAAAAAAAGAAGTTACATATAAGAAGAGAATCGAGACAGTTTGTGATTATGTATTGTGATAGTCTTAAACAGAAACTTCTTAATACTCAACTAAATGTTGGTATTTTATGTAAAACTCTTTGGATTTTGTTCATCTTAATTATATTAAAATTTAAGATTGATTGGTTCTTGTTTTTTTCAACTGTAGATTTTCCAACTTCAATGAATTCTGTGATTGTTGATGTTGTTAATGTATTCCGGCTTTTAGTACAATAAACAATAATGCATTCTTGAATAGGTCACTGTCAAGAAGTTATGTTCTCCTAGAAAAATAGTTCATAATTCAATAAATAGAAGCATAACAGTTTGTCTGTTCTTTTTGGCCACACTTCCTTTGATTTTATCTATGTATAATAATTTACAAGATTATGTAATTTTTCTCTTTTTTTGCTAAAATGAGATAATAATCATCTGTCTGATATGACAGTTTCTTCGATTGATTCTTACTGTTTTTTAGGTTTATTTTTTCTTCTATCCTCGACTGATAAAAGCATTCATTGACCAAAAGATATATATAATTTCTTGAATCAATGCAGATGGCAAATACTAATGCATGACTTAGACATACACAACATTTATTTTGCTAATGAGAAGAAAAAAAAGGATTGAATTCCCAAATATTGAGTATCCTGTTTCTATTTCAATATAGTATTATACAACAGAATCGATTTTTTTAAAAAGTATTAGTAAGTTAATAAAGCTTAAATAGACCAATCAATCAAAGTCAAATAATGTCAAACATTTATTGGATCATTGTATATAATATATGATCTTCAAAATTAAGCTATTTTTATATTCAATGATCATATGAGATTTATATTAAGTGAGAAACCAAACAAACAAACAAAAACTAAGTTACAACTGAAATATGAAAAAAAAAGAAAAACAAGCACATGATATTACATACAGAAAAAAAAACAAACATATTCATTCATTAGAAAGAGCGTATAATAATGTCACTGTGAACATCATCATCAACAAAATCATTACTTGTTGTATCATCAATTAAACGTAATTGATAAGATGGAAGAATTCCATTTGAATGATGATGATGATGATCATGATGATGATGTGTTGGTGAAGTACTTTCTGTCATCGATGAAAAACATCCTGATGTTGATGAACGACATTCACCAATATCTGAACTTTCAAATGATATTGATGCTGGTGGTTCAATATGACTTAATACACAATCGAGAACATTACGAGCCTTAAGAATATGAAAACAAAAAAAAAATAATTATGCTAATAAATATCAATAAAAATCAAGGTCTTCTTTTTTTTTACCGTTTGTAATGATCCTTCATTAGAAAACCATATTAATGGTTGTTCTTTATTTTTATTCATTAATATTTCATTTAGACGACAATGAAGATCATAAAAACTTATTCGATTTCCAGGTATATATTGCCAACATGATAACATAAGTTCATATCTATTTTAAAAAAAACAAAAATCATTAGATGAATATAAATATAAGAACATCTGAAAACTATCAAAAAAGCCCTTGTTGTACGAAATCAAGCAATTGACTATTCCCAGATGTATAATATAAAAATTTAATTAACATAAACAATATTATAGAATTTTTTTACTTAAATCTATTCAAAATATTGATCCGAGCAATGCATACTTTCTCTTTTATTTGACTTTAATTCTTTACAAAGGTTATTTTTTTCTCCTAAAACATCAGTATCTAGTAATTCTGACGATTTGTATCGTTTGGAATTAGTTTTTAACTTCTCATTCAGTAATAACAACATTTTTTGTCGTTTATATATTTGTATTCTATCATATCGCTAACGCTAAGTTTTTTTTTTTTTATTGATAACTCCTGTGAACAAAGGTCTTTAGTACTGATTTTTTTTCAGAGTAAAAATTAGCTCCGAGATGCATATGTTTTAATTTTGCGAAGCCATATAGTTTTGTAATCATTAAAAGTTTCTTCTAAAAAAAAAATTCAGTTACAGAATAATCAAAAGTATTAAAATTCATGATATAATCAAATAGAAATTCTCTTAGGAATAAGTAATTCAATGCATGTATTGTTCGTTTATTAATAAAGAATGAAGATACATATATGAAATCAAAATTGAAGTTCGTGTTCGAGAATACATATATATTTTGATCAAGTTCTATACATTTTGTAATGAATTTTTTCTTTTGTATAACATTTCTTTTTTTTCTGTCAGATTGTAATGAAATCATTAACATCTATTTATAAATCAAGGACTAGTGAAATATCAGAAGATAGTTCGATGAAGATCAAATCATCATTCTTTTTCATTTTCATTCTATGAACAAATATGATAATATTGAAAGAAACGTGTTTGTAATCATTAATGAAATAGTCATTCATAGTTTTTTATATCTATATTAACTTTTATAATTATTATAGAATTATTTCAACATATTTTTAATGTATAAAGATTTTCTTTTTTTTTTTGTATACTTACAAAGCTTGTGTACATTGTATTGGTTTTTCTAAAGTTCCTCGTGTTGTTGTAATTAATGAAATAACTTGTTGATTATTCAATGGTGAATATGGTACTTGACCTAATGTTATAATTTCCCATAGGACAATTCCAAATGACCTAAAATTGAGTTGTATTTCTTGTTTTTTTTAAATTCTATTTAAGAATACTCCTTTTTACATGACTCAAAATTTTTATAGTCATTGTATAGTCTAAACTAGTTTCTATCTACTGAGTACTTTAAACATTAAAAAATCAAATTTATGAGACGGAAATATCGAATCGCACTTTTCTTAAACAAAGTGTAGAAACGCCTTCAGAAATTCCGGCAATGAAGTATCCTTAATCTTAAACATACCAAATATCTGAATTCGAAGTAAAAATTGCATCAAGTAATGATTCTGGTGCCATCCATCGTACAGGTAAAAGAGCTTCACCTGTTTTTCTATAATAATCTTGTTGACTTAACATTCTAGCTAAACCAAAATCACCAATTTTAACAAGAATTTTTCCATTATCAATATTCGTTGATGATACAAGACAATTTCGAGCAGCTAAATCTCTATAAAAAAAAATTTTATTAATAAAATAAAATAAAAGATACGTTTTTTTTTGTTTTTGTTTCTCTCATTACCTATGAACATATGAATGCTGTTCAAGATAACAAGCACCATCAGCTATTTGTTCTGCTATATCAAGACAATCATCATATGATAATTCACATTGATTATTATTATCTTTTGTTGGTCTTGAACGTCTTAAATAATTTTGTAAATCACCTTGTTCCATTAATTCAATAACAAGAAATTGTGGTTGATAATCATGATAAAAACAAACACCTAATAAATGTATTATATGTTTATGATTAAATTGATTCATTATAATAGCTTCTTTAAGAAAATCAATACGTTGTGATTGAGATGCTGAACTAGGTAATGTCTTTAAAAAAATAGAAATATATAAATTATTTATAAGAAGTTTCGCCTGTCTGTCAAGCGTCCGTCAATATGATCATTTATATGGTCGAAATTACGATATAGTTTTTTTTCCATCAATCGATATCTCACATCAAACTGGATTTATAAGATTGAAATATGAAGCACTCGGCGAAACAGAAAAAAAAACAAGTGATCTCCATTATTTGGCTTATGTGTCTGTCATTTTTCATCTATTTTGTTTCAGCAACATCTGATTTGTTGAAAGAGCACATCAAAATGGAATAAAAACGTTACGAATAGGTTTTTCACAAAGTCAAATCTTGATATAAAAGAAGTATAAAAAATGTACTTTTATTACACTGACTTTTGCTGTTTTTCAATGGCGCGGTTTTCATATAGTATATTATAAAGATTTTGAGAAAAAAGTTTCAGAAAAAGTCGGGGTGGGGATGTATTAATTTCCAAAGCATAAGCT